AACTCTTAGCATCAATCCAAAGACCTTTACCACTCACTAGGATGTCTTCTGATTTATAACAACAATTATGGGGCACCTAGAGTCTCTGACTTTGTAATGTTCGTATCATGCTATTATTGACTCCTTTGTGGGTTTCCACAACGTTTTGAAGACCAGAGCAGACATTGATGGGTGCTCAAATATTAAATAGATAAAATATGTAGGCTTGTGAATAAAACTATAAATTTACAAATTATACAAATATATAATATATAGTTATACCTTGGAATTTTAAAATTAATATTACTACTGTTAAAAATGTTTTATGTTATGTTGTTATGTTATGTTACGATGTCATGTCAGTTTCATCTTCATCCCTCAGTGTCTTGTTGTCATTGTTTTTCTGCTCTGGAATCTTCTTCCTTTCCTTCTTCTTCAGTTTAGAACTAATACTCACCATGAAAATGTTCAAAGATATTTTACTGTCTAGGATAGATGTCCGGCCTTTCTCCCACAAAACAACACTTGTCATTTGAGGGAGTGAGTAAATGGTTTCTAGGAAGAAAATTTTGTCCATCTCCAGTGAGAAGTGAAGCAAGGACACAAGGCAGCCATCAGTGTTACCCTAAGGGAGGCTGCCTCACGTGGGAAGAAGAGAAGAATGTCAAGAAGTATCAAGAGTATAGGACAAAAGAAAAAGCCTCACTCTGCTGTGGTCAGTCAGGTAGATGAATCCTTGGACCTACTTGGGAGTGCTAAAGTGGGCAAAAGACCAATATTCCTAACCTCAGGTCAGCTCCAGACTCTGTTCCTTCCCATGCCTTAAGAACCCAGGTCTGTTATTTATCCCCTCTGGCTTCTGTAAAGTTAAATATTTTCCAGGCTGGCGCCATGGCCTACTAGTTAAGGGAATCAGTTCTCACATGGCTGACCACGAATGGAAGAAAAGCATGATGGGTGCATGTGTGTGAGTGTCCAAAATCCTAACAAAGTTGAAAAATAGACAAAGGATTGTAGTGTGATCACACCCTACTGTGGGTGCTCTTTTTAAAATTATTTATTTATTTTTATATTACATTGGATTGCATATAACTTTACAGTGTATTACATTGTTTTTTCAAAAGGGAATGCCATGCATGTCAGTCAATACAGAGACATTAATCTCCCCACTTCATCATTCAATATCTTTTCATTGTTTTTTCCAATCATTGTTATTATTATTCCAGTTATTGCTTTTTACCTCTCCTGCTCTGTCTCACTCTCATGAGCACATATGCCCACTGACAATTCAAAAATATCATTTTTTCTACATTAATATGAGCTTTTTTTAAGACATTACGAAAATTTTTGTGTGAAGAAAATTGTATATGTTTCTTGAATTATAAAATTTCAATTTAGTTGAGGCAACCATTCAGAAACTTAGACATTCTTTAATTTTTGATTTCTTCTTTAAAACCTTAGTTTTCTGGTCAAGCCACAGTGGTACAGGCAGTAAAATACTGATCTACAGTAGAAATCACACAAATGATCATGAGTTCAGATCCCAAGTCAACTGAACACATGCTGGGCACACTGCTAAGACCTTGGCTGATAGGAGGGGTGAGAGAAGAAGATGGCAGCACCAAGACCTCCCACCTCTGTGGGAGGTCTCTGTCTTTCTCTTTCTCTCACACACTTGTGTGCACATACATTCTCTCATGAAAGAAATAAATCTGGAACCAGCAGTTAGCATAATGGCTATGTCGCTGAACTCCCATGTAGTCGACCGCGGTTCGAGTCCCAGATCCAATGGCTTAAACTCACACCAGGCATGTGTGCGTGCGTGCCCAGGATCCCAGGAGGAGAATGGAAGAGAAGGGATTGCGGCGTGACCATCCCCCCAAGGGGGTGATTTCTCGCTTTCTGTCTCTCTATCTTTCTGGAGAGCACAGCGCCCTATAGCAAAAGCCTCCCCCCACCTCGCCCCCGCAAAAAAAAAAAAAAAAAAAAAAAAAAAAAAAAAAATTTCACAAAACCCTTAACACTCTATTT